AAAAGCAAGCAATTATAGAATGAATTTTTCTCCAGTTGGCTGTTAATTTTTAGCCATCCCAGCTTCAAGTGCATTGAAACTGAGATTGCATTCCCTTGTCATTTTGATTTTAGGCTCCAGTTCTCGTGCTTACCTGCTTGGGAGTAAGCCCCATTGAACTCAGTGGCACTTCTGCCTAGACATTTAGAAGATTCTGCTCTTTTCCATCTAATTGTTCATGACTTCATCTTTATAAGAATGCTGTTATATTTGCATTGGGTTATATATGCTAATAATGGAAATGGAATTTATATGTATTTTTTAAGAATAGGATTGTACACAGTGAGGCAAAATGTCATATAGTTCACTGTATGAGGTTTTTGTTTTTGATGCAGCTTGGAGTACCCTACAAGCTGGAGGTTCTGAACTAGATGCTGTAGAGAAAGGTTGTGGCCAGTGTGAAATCGAGCAATGTGATGGTAGTGTGGGGTATGGAGGAAATCCTGATGAACATGGAGAAACAACATTGGATGCCATGATAATGGATGGGTAAGAAATCCTCATGGAAAAGATACATTCCCAGTCCAGCAATTTCTTATAGGCATGGGAGTCTTATTGAGGCCATGCATTGGCCTCTTTATGTGCAGGATCTGTCCCATTCACTTCAGTGGAGCAGATAGTTATGTGCCTGCTTCATTCTTGGTTGAAAAACATGTTGATTGACACCTAATAGAGGAGGTCCATGTGTTTCTCTAGAAATATGGATGGGGTGCTCAGTATATGTATAAAATATGCATTCAGTATACTAATAAGTCTTTTGTGAGATCAGATGATACTCCAGAATGCTGTACAATATAATTGAGTATCCTAAGGATAGTGGGTATGTGTGTACCTGGCTTAGAATGTTTTGAAACTGGTATTATACCCTGTTAAATATTTTAGAAGCATGAATGTGGAGCAAGCTGAACATCTTTTTCTTTTGTTTCATATAGTGGTGAACAACCTTCTCCCTCCTTTGATATAGTAAGGAAAGTGTTTTCAAGAGGGGAGGAAGTTGATGTAGACCAGCTTTTCATTAGCCTAAAAAGCAGTTTTCCTATAGAAACTTTACTTACCGAAGATTTCTTGATTTTTCCAGGATTTGTACATTGCAAGGATGTTGCCCATTGTAGTGGCTAAGAGTAGAAGCACATGGCTATCCAGATTGTAGCCAGAAATGCAACATAATGGAAGCAGCCTGATGGGATTGCAAGTTACCACATTTGAAGAGCAGCCTGTGTTTGTTGAATAATCTCATATTTGTTCTTAGATAAGGCATGTACTATGTATTCTGCATTTTTGGTATGAACTTTTCACCACAGCTTTCTTTTTCTTTGATGCAGTAACACTATGCAAGTTGGAGCAGTAGCAGATCTCAGACGCATTAAAAATGCCATTGGTGTAGCACGAAAAGTGATAGAACATACTAGGCATACCTTATTGGTTGGAGAATCAGGTAACTTTTTCATTCTGGTTTTTTGAGATATACTATGCAGTAGTGAGAGATGTTAACCCCAGTGTGACTGAGTTCCTTTGACAACAGTGGGTGCTAGTGGCAAGTTAATTACTTTCACTCAGGATAGAAGTGTCAGTGTTTTAAATGGATTATAGCAAGTGTATTCTAGATCAGTTTTGTAGCTGCTTTGGTCCTCTGCACCACCCAATCTGTTCTTGAGCCTCTTTACTTATTGAGCTCAGTGCCATTTATTCCCAGTTAAATGTGCATTGGGTTGTGGTGTTCAATGATGAACTCAGTAGTGAAGTCTGTCATTTTGGAACTGGTCGTTGCATGATGGTGTGGTTTAAAGATTCCATGATTAAGATTTGTGTAGATCAGGATTAGAAACTGTTTTTGGTACAAGGGCTGAATTTCATTTCAAAAAGGTTCTTGAAGTCACATTCCAGTGCTCGGTGAAGCCAAAGGCATTAAGGCCAAAGCCAAATCATAAAAAGTACCTGCATGTGTTAATTCACAGCTTTCATTGCCAATAGTTGAGCCCTAGGAGAGGAATTTCAACCTTTAAGAGTGAGGGGTAACAGTTCAAAAGCTGGGAAACCAGTGAATCAGTGGTCAAGGGAATGTGGACAAAGCTGTGAGAAGGGGCTAGAAGACTGGATTTGGCATCTGCACGTGAAGCTCCGTGCCCCAGATATAGGTGGTCTACATATGTTAATAAATGTCATGATCATACATGAACACTAACTAGCCAAGGACTCTCTTTTCTCTCCTCCCATAGCATCACTGTTTGCAGAAAGCATGGGGTTTCAGAGTGAAGACTTGACTACACAGAATTCCCTTGCAGTATACTTGAAGTGGCTTAATCGAAGCTGCCAGCCAAATTTCTGGAAGGTGGAATGCAACTTTTGTTGTTTTCATAAGCTTACGTAGTGGCTGTATTATTTGTTTTCTGATGGAAAAAGACAGTGTATAATTTTTAGCGCTCCATCGATGTTGTTCGGTTTCAAACCAGAAGCTAATTGTGCTCTGTGCCAAATTATTTTCCTCCTCCTTTGTGTGTGCAAATGCCACCTTCTTGGCTCTGTTATGTGCGTTGTCCCTGGAGAAAATACAGGCTACAGTAGCCTGTAGATGGAAAGAAAGAAAGATTCCAAGATCACAGATGGAAAGGGGAAGTTTGGGGTTAAAATAAACTCTTTTTAGTTACTTTAATTGAGCCACCAGTGGTAAGAAAGAGGATGGGGTTTTGTAGTTTGCTTGAGGTGTTACTTGAGCCTCTGAGGTGGAAGCAAGTAGAGTTCTGAAGCTCAGTACCACAGAAGCAAACCGTGTGGTTGTATTTAAAGTTGCCTCATCACAATGTGTAGGCTTGTTCATAAGGCATGAGAAGAACTGTACTTAAATTACAGCTGTAGGTGGTAAGAAATATCATCATGCTGGGGCTTTTTTTCCCACATAGAATGTTGATGCATTTTATTTCTCTTCTGGCTATTCATCTTAGGACACATTTGCAAATCACATAACAACATGAGATCTGAGGAAGGGGTTTGTGACTGAAGTGTTTCACTATTGAGTTACTCTAAATTGAGATATATGCTTTTGTCTGTTCTTTGTTTAAAGTGTGTGAACAACAGTAATTTGCCTTTGATGAAACTTCTTTGTCCTTAGCATATACAAGCAGCTTATATTATTCTTTTAGTATGATAATTTAGTTCTATTTTTTAACTCTGCTGGAGAGGGAAAGGAATACAGGTTTCTTTGAAATGGCTTTTGTTTTTCTTAAGGATTTTAATGTGAATGAAACTTTGATTTCAGAATGTTACACCAGATGCTTCAAAATCATGTGGGCCGTACAAACCGGCTGCAGAGTTCAGTAAAGAAGAACAGAAGACCTCAGAGAGAAAAATACAAGTTCACAATCATGATACTATTGGTATACTTTCTTGGCAGTTACTCATACTGTAGTACTCTTATTCGTTGTATACTATGCTTCCCAAATTTAGTGTCAGTAATTTTAAATAAGATAAAGGGCACAGTCTCTTTGGAATGTTCTCTTGCGCAAATGCATAGGCAATCTAAGTGATTCAGGCTGTGATCCTATGACTATTAGACTCCGTTTAGCTGGAGAAATTGGAGTTCCACCTCTGCCCTTGGAAATATGCTCGAAGGTTAAAGCTGGGAATCCACCTTAGAGAATCTTCCCTTCATTCTTGTAGCTGATGCAATTCTTTCCATGCTGGCTGCAGTTAAAATTGCATTAACCTACTCTGGTGTAGGTTAGAGTACCTGCCTCAGAGCTGGTGTTTGCTGAGCATTCCAGAAGCGGGGAAAAGAATGAGATTGTGGTAGGATGCACAATCAACCTCTTAGTGGCACATCAGCCTTTCTTTGCAAGCCCAGGCATAAGACTTAGATGGCAAAAAACGAATTCAGAGGGTTACATGTTGAATGGCATTGCTGTAACACATATTTCCAAAACTATTTGGTACTTATTGTAGCTATTTGGCGTATAGCACCCTGCGTAATTCTAGAATCAGGTTCTTAGCATTTTGTTCTCAGGACTTCTGGGCTCCGGGTATGAATGAAGAAGAAAAGAGACCTTATGGAAAATGCAGTTGTTTTTAGAAAGCTTTTTCTGGTGTTCATGTGGAGGAACAACTTTTTGTTTTGGATCGTCTTTCAGAGTAGTCTGAATAATTCACTTTTTGCATATGAGAACCAAAGCCTGTGGATTTGGTTTGATATTTTTAGGACATTAATGAAGACTTCTCTGTTGAAACACCTTTAACTTAGTTTGTTATAAATTTTAAATAACCTTGCCTGCTAGGGTTTTTGTTACATTTGTTTTAAGGTTTTGTAATTAAAGAGCCATTTAATTTTCAAGAAGGAACAATTTACTTTTTGCTTGCTAGTTTTTTGAAAGTATATTAAGAGTACCCCATGTTAATGAAGAAATTGTTTCAAAAGCAGTTATTTTTTCCAGTGAATCAATTTTTCTACCAGCTGTTCCACAACTTCATAGACCTGGAAGATCTCATATAGTCAAATTTCAGCATCAAGTTTTATAGAATGAACTAAAGATGAAAGGGGAAAGAACTTGTCTCTCTGTTTGGATGCAGTTTCTACCATCTGCATAGCAATTAAATATAGAATTTACACAAGCACCTAAGTGACTTAGGAGCCTAAATCTCATAGACAGACACTTAAGGAGACACTTTGACTGTGATGATTAAATTTGTCATCATTAAGCAATTAGCATTTTAAAATGTCAAGTGCTAAAGTTCTTGATAATCTAAAGGTGTGTCCTCATGAATACTTCCACCTTGGCAGTTTGCCTGAGCCAGCAATTTAATCTGCAACAGCAATTTTCACAAGATATGCCACTGTGCAGAGAAACAAGCAGAACTTTAGTTAAGACAGCATAGCATGGATGAGGCGTTTTCTCTGTGGGGGCAAACTGCCCACCTGGCAAATATTTGAATGTAAACATTCAAAAACTGCTTAGCAGTTTTGATTTAATGTTACATTCATGGGACTCTCTGCCACCTGTTATCCATTTGCATGAATGATCTAGATATATTTTTGTAAATTAAGGCTTAAGTGTCTTGAAATCTGCTTTTTTGCAATGCTTGAAATTGAATACAATGCTTCCATTCTGAAGCCTGGTGACCAAAGCCCATGTGTTATATCCAGGTTGTCTTTTCAGTAAATGGAAGCATTCATTCTCTTTCAACATCCAGTGGAGAAAAGGGAGCAATTTCTACACATTCTCAGTTCCCTCTACAACCCCCAGTGCCACCCCCATCCTGTTTCAGAGAGTCCCCTGAACTTCCAGGGCAGTTTGACAGAGGACTACATGAACAAGGGGGAATCAGCTAAGGTTGTCTTTCTCCTCTTCTTCCAGTGGAAGAACTCCCATGAATGGAACTTTACATGCACAAAAGCTGGATCTGTCCCCATATTTTTGGTTGAAATCATGTAGATGTATCTGGCAGGCAGCAATCTCAGTGATCATCTCCCTTCAGTGAAAGGACACTCTTTTTCTAAATGTAATGGAGAGTTGCTGGAGTGGAGCTGTACCAATAGTGAAGGGTTTTGTCTTTAAGAGGCCTGAGGGAGGAAGACCTAGGTGAAGCTGGTTCCGTCAGCATGTTTTATGTGAGTAAAACAGCGGTTGCTCAATGCCTTTTCACCAAGAGAACTCTTAGACTGAAGCACTGTCCATTTTGAAGAATGGCTGCTCTAACAGGATCTTTGTAAATTAAGCAAAACCATCCCCATCCTCTTCTAAGTATCCCTCTTGTTTTTATTTGTAGGCATGATTGTAATTGGTAAAACCGGACATATTGTGGCAGGAACATCTACAAATGGGGCAGACCATAAAATCCAGGGGTTTGTATTATTGCAATACAAATATCAGCTCCATATGAACAAAATGTGTTATCCTTGTTTTAATTCAGGTGATGATAGTATGCACTGCTATGTAGTAGCATTGCTCCTATGACCAGAATGACTGTTACATAATTTAGAAGAAAAGCATTGTGGAAAACAGTATGTGCATGCTTGCTTACATACCCCATTTTAACAGTTGTGTCTGTTAAAAGGGGGTATGTGCATAGTTTTACAGAGTGTAGTTTTATTTGGCAATCATCCCATGGTGTCCACCACCTCTTTGGATCCACTGATCCCAATAGGGACCTTTTTCTAAGTCCTGTAACTATGTTTGATGAGTAAGTTATTGGTAAATACACCATTGAGAAATGAAGAATTAAACTTGAGGGGTCCCAATAAAAATCAGACCTGCCTCACAACTGAATAGAATGAAAAGAAGCAATGCAATAGGTAGTTTTATCTCTAGGCCTACTTCAAAATTATTAAGATAGCAAACTTGTGATTGGTTCATACAGTGTCTAACCGGAGTTACAACTGCCCTGGTGCATGTTCATCCATGTAGAAAACTCAGTGCTGGGGAGAATGGATTGAAATTCCTGCTGTTGTTTTGTATGGCAGTTCCCACCAGTAGTTTGAGGAGGTATCATCCAGCCATAAGCTGGATGAGAAAGAGGACTTAAAAGTATTTTGTTACAGTTATATGGAAAATAGCAAGCTGCCCTCATTGACCAGCTCTCTTTATTTAATTAACATTAGACGTGTCGGTGACTCTCCAATTGCTGGAGCTGGAGCATATGCTGACAGTACAGCAGGAGCTGCAGCCGCCACTGGAGATGGGGATGTTATGATGCGCTTCTTGCCCAGGTTCTTATGTTTTGCAGATTTCCTACTGGCTCCGTTGTGGTATTTTTGATACTGAAACTAACAGTAACCAATCAGATATCTGTAACCAATCATCTTGACACTTCCACACACTGAATGTTCCCAGTTTAATTTTTTTTAAATGGCAGAAACTCGAATGTGGTTAATTCCTGTGTATCCAATAGATTTTTGTAAAAGTATGTCAGCCTTGATCACTTAGCATCTTTCTTACATCTTTGTTTTCAATGAAGCTTTAAAAATTACTGCCATTTTTTAAACTTGACAATGCTCATTTGACCAATTTGAGAACATTTGTACTAGTCTATACATTTTCTTTACATCAGCTATCAAGCAGTGGAATATATGCGTACTGGAATGGATCCAGCAATGGCTTGCCAAAATGTGATTTCTAGAATTAAGAAGTATGACCCATACTTCTTTGGTGCTGTTATCTGTGCCAACACAACCGGAAGCTATGGTATGTGTTTTTTGTATTTTAAGCCATGCAAAGTAAGCAGCTCTTTGATTGTGTTTACATCCATTGGTTACACTAGCCTGTGTAGGAATATGATTCATATGAAAGTGTTTAAATGAAATATTCACATTCATCTTGGAAAATAACATCAAACTGAGATTCATCTTCAAAGTGATCAAAGTTCATGCTGGGTATCTCATTAGTCAACCCTTGGATCACCTAGATGTATCATTTTGCTAATCGATATGGCTTATTGGGTTAGACTGCTTATTGCAGTTCTTTTATCTTTAATTTCCCACAGTTCTGTGTTTGACAGATTACAGATGCAAAAGCTCATTACAGTTTCCAGTGTTAAGATGGAAATTGAAACAAAGTATACTAAACTTTGAATTATATTTTAAGGGTATGAAGTCCACAGTGCTGATTGGAGACATTTTTCTTTTCAAAAGTAAAAAAAGCCTTCTTAAAGATATCCCAGTGCTGGGTTAATTAAGGGTATAAAAGAACAATTACACAATTGTAGTAGAAGTAATAGCAGAATTCTTCAGATGTTAAAAGTACGATGAGACAGATTAATGTGACTCTCATAGTTTGAACTCCTTACTGTCTTATCTCCCCTTCCTGCCACAGGTGCTGCTTGCAATAAAGTTCCAGGATTCACACAATTTCACTTTATGGCTTTTAATCCCAATCTGAGGCAACCATCTGAGAAAATAGTGGACTGCATTTGATTTTTCCCCTCTTAACACCAGTATCTGAAGTTAATACCATGAAAGAAATGAAGACTTGCAATGCAATCTTATTCATGTCTACTCAGAAAGAAGCCCCACTGAAATCAGTAGGGTTTAGTCCAGGGTAAGCAAGCACAGAATTTCAGCCTAAAAATTGTGTAGCTTAATTTGCACAAAAATTAATTGCACACATAGCTTTCCTTTTTAGTTTAGAGGGGATAATATTATTACCTGTCAAATTAAGCTTTTCTGTCTTGTATTTGCCAAGACATTTAAGAAAACTTAAACTGGATGGTATAACAAAAGCAGTTAATTCGAGAAGTTGCCAAGTTTTTTCTCAAATTCTGCCAAAGCTGGCTGCCATCTGAGTGAGAGAATAAATGAATGTGTCAGGTCAAGCAACTTTGAACAGAAAATCACTTTCTTCAGTGAATTTCGGCCAACTTTTCAAGCACTGTTTCCTATACCTGAATGAAGACTATTGCTGGAAACTCCTGAAATAGGACACATTTCGATTATGACAGATTCTCAGGAACAAGTACAAAGACATTTTCAAGCATGGAGAAAAAAATCATTTGATCAGACAGGATTTCATTAACTGGTATTAACCCTTATATATTGTTGTGCACTCTTAGGCCCCACAGTTTTTTCAGCATCTCATGCAGGAGAAGCCCTCTATCAAACATACGAACATTGAATTTATAGGCACCCTGGGAGGACTATTTTAATTTAACATTGTTGTACTTGTGTTTTCCATAAAATACATGAGGACTTAAAAAAACCATTAAAATATACTAATGATTCTGAACAAAAAATAGGAGTCAGAGTGTGCTCCCCACCCAGTGTTGGGAATATGTTTTATTCCTTTGTTTTCTCTTAAACATTGCCAAGATCACTTACAGAACTGCTAACATCTGACACTCCGCTGTAAACTTCACTGAATGACCTTGAGCCAGTTATCACTCTGCTTAACTTACATTGCAGTGTTGTTGAAATAAGTGGAGTGCACTGTGATATGTAGCCTTGTACATGGGGGAAAAAGCAAGATATGATAACTGCCAGATCAGTATCCTTCCTGAGCTTCTGGTTTATTTTTTTTCCTTATTTCTGGCTGTTTAGGCTTCCTTCCTGAGCATTTCAAGCCATAGGACCATATTTGGAAACTTACTTCTCAGTATTGATTCCAGGACTTACTGCTGCTGTGTTATCACTTTTGACCTGAGACCAACATTGGATCATCCTTGCTCAGGTGCAAAACCAGCACACTGGCCCTCATAATGCCAGACCTGAAATGCTTCTCTTTTCATATCTTTATGGATCTGCATAAATTCCTGTCAATCAAACTGCAAGTTATGGCTGAGACTAGAGTAGAATATAATACATCCAGATATAGCACTGAAAAGACATACCATTGGATACCATCAACCGAGGTATCTTTTTAGGGCATTTGTCTGAGTTGGAAGTGCTGGGTACTTCATTGCAGTGGTTGTGTGTCTACTTGGAAGACTGGCAGAATTTGGGGAATATTATTTAGCCCCATTGATTCTTCAGCATTGAGTTCCTCAGGTCTGTTCTGTCCCCCCATGCTGTTTAACATCTACTTGACAACACTGATGGTGATAAAAAGATCTACTCCGAATGTGCGAAATAGATGCCTGGCTGGACAATGGACTGGATGAAGTCTAACAAATTGATGCTCAATCCAGGCAAGATTGAGATGCTGTTAATTGGGATGGAGGGTGTTCAACCTGTTCTGGATGGGGTTGTATTCCCTAGAAGGAGCAGATTCATAGTTTAGGTGTTCTTGATCCATCTTTAAAACTTGAAGCTCAGGTGGCCTCAGTGGTATGGACTGCCTTCTGCCAGCTTCAGCTGGTGGTCCAGCTACAGCCCTACCTGCTCAGGAATTTCTAATCTGTGTTCTACTAATCTCTGGATTACTGAAATGCACTTTACTGAGGCTACCCTTGAAGACTGTTTAGAAACTGCAGTTTATGCAAAATGCTGCAGTCAGATTAATAACTGGGACCCATAGGCCTGAATGTATTTGACCAATTCTTACCTGCTTGCATTGGCTGTATCTGTTCTTCCAAGTTCAAGACATGGTACTGGTTTTACCCTGTCAGGCCTTTTAGAGCTTGGGCTACAATACCTGACAGAACAGCTCGCCCAACTGTAAACTCCCCAAACACTATGTTCAACCTCTGGGGCCTCCCTTCAAGTGCCAGCTCCAAGGAGCAATCAGGTGGCAACAACAAGAAGGAAGGTTTTCTCTAGTGGCATCCTATAAAATGACCTTTCCACTGAGGCCCATCTTGAAGGAATCTTACCGTGGTTTTGTTTTTTGTTTTGTTTTAGCAGTGGGTTAAGTCCTTTATGTTGAGTCCTTTACATGGATATTCAAGGTCTTGAGTAGATTACTCCTTCCAGGTGTTTACAAGTCTACTCTTCATTATGATGTTTTACATTTTTAATTTTTTTAATGTTTGTGTTTTGTATGATATTCCATTGTATTGGTTTTATGAGTTGTTATAAAGTTTCCAGACAGCTTTGGCAACTGCGTGCTATAGAAATGAAATAATACTTCCTGAGTCTTTTAACTTTTCCTTTGCAGGCAGACCCACCGATGCTTCTGTAGAAGCAGTCTTAATTCAGAGTTCCTTTTGGGGCCACCTTCCAGTAGCTAAATCTAACTGGTGGGAGTTAACCTTCGCATTGCTGTCTAGCACTCCCTAAAACAGCATTCCAGGGTGCATTGACTGTGGCCCGGGCTGTAGCTTGCACCAGTTGGTTCATTGCTGGTGTGGTGCCTTGTGACTATTTGCTCCTGGACAGCAATAGCCTTTCCTGTAAAATGGCTGAAAGTGTGTGTATTCCTGCACAAATGTGTGCAGACATATATGCACAGATAGGGGCTTATCAAATGTAGAGGCTGAATCTTTAAATGTGTGGAGCTCAGAACTACTGCTTTGATGCTTTGACGTCTAAAGAACGCTTTTTTCCCAGTTGATTCTTCTCTTGTCCTATTTATTTGACAGCGATAACTAAATTGTTTCAAAAAGGTCAATTCATCAGTTCTACCTGAACATTTAAAGGCATTTTTCTTTGACAGAGATCAAGTCAGGTTCTCTGTAAGAAATAGAAAAAAAGCAGTTGCTTCAGTGTTTTGGACCATTCTTTGTTTCTTAGAAAAATCCCCTGTGCCAGTTTGTCAAACAAACTAAAATGTTCATTATTCTCTGGCAAAAATGCAACACAATTGCTTACACGAATAAATTTTCTTGCACTGCTGGAGGGGATATCTAACAGCAGTACTTTTAGTTGACAGACCAGACTACCTGGAAAAACCATTCTGTCCACTAACACTATTGCTGTTGCAGGAGATTCCTTATGCTAGTGCAGTGTACATTACTCGTGTTAATTTTGCACTAGATAGTGCCCCCTTTTGCCAAACATTTTTAAGCTGCCTAAGGAGCTTTGGTTATTGGGCATTAGAGAAATAAAACCATAGCAAACTCAATTGTCTGTTGGGTGCTCTTGCACTGCTGAGCAAAAGCCAACCTGCTGTGGCTTAGTCTACAAACCCACCCAATGTTTTCAATGCAAACTGGTCAGTTGTGTTGATTGGCAAAGTGCAGGAAGCAATAACTTAAGGCCATATCATCTGTTTCATGAATCAGTGAGAAAAATAAGTCAGCCCTGCATCTTTACATGAAACAAGTGTGTGAAGATCTGTATTTAGACAGTACATCACTATTCCGCCTCCTGCCACCCAACTAGACATAACTTCATGCAGTCAAATATTTTTAGCACCCTTTTATTTTTCATGTAGTGAAATACTTTAATACCCCTTGTCCTTGTAGATAACAGATGTCATGTAACAGCATAATCAAAAATATGCAGCAAATAAATAAATGTGCATCATATCTTACAAGTTGTCTTGTAGTGTGTGGATGGGCAACATAGTGAGCCATGCCGAGACATTAATAAGAGCCAACTGGCTATTAATACATTCTGAATATTTAGTCTTCCACGTGAGATCTCAAGATTATGGCAAATTTTGAAAAATGATAAAAGCTGTTGAAGGAATGAAATCAAAGATGAGCATTTGGTAAAACCATGGTGGATCCCCCCACCAACTACATGCCGATATTTCTGATTCTCAGCCTCTGAGTGAGCTTTGTGGGTGGCTGACTGAACCTTTCCAAAGTTAATGGTGAAAGTGTCAGGGTGCTATCCTATGGGCTTTCCAATATTATCTGGGAAGCCATAAGATCCTTCAGAGTCCCAGCTCCTATGAACTCAGAGCTGCAATTCCAAAGGCTGAACACCCACCCCATCCTTGCACAATGGGTGTGGAAAAAACTGTGCCCCGTCCCCCGAGATTGCAGCTGGGTTTTGGAGAAGGTGTGCTGGGAGCAAGAGGAGGAGAAGGCTGCACATGCAAAGTTACACTACTTATACCTGGTGCCTTAGCTGCTTCCATTCTCCCTTCCTGGAAGTAAATCTAGACAGCCAACCACAGGCATCTAAAGAAATTATGGGTGTGAGCTGCAATGGATGCAGCTGCCAATGCACTTTGCTCTGGCTGCTTATAAGCTGCGAAGTTCGGATACAGGCACACATCTGCCTGGAGAGGATAGGACTGAGTCCTCCATGGCTTACCCCTAATTTTGACCAGTTTATTTACAGATATATAAAGAAATTGATTATACTCCTCTGGCTTGTGATACAATCCTATCACAAGCCAGAGTTATGAAACCTGTTTTGGAGTTCAGCTTAATATGAAGCTCAGAAAGCTCAGAAGCCAACAATGTACTTAATAACTGGGTAGACGTAATAAAACTGTCATTCATTCGTCATGTTTCTTTACTGCCTAGTGACAAAAGCTGGGTTGTTCATAGAGATTAAAAATAATCAAAATTCAGTAATTATATCTAATATCAGAACAATTTACTGACAACATGCAGATACATACATACACTTGTAATTACTAACAAATCCCATGACCTGATTAAAACCTTACTTTCAACTGGCAAATGACTGAGATTGGAGAAAGGTTGCAACCTGACACTCAAAAGCTAACAATGTTGACACCAAGCAGGCCTCACTGGGGACTTATTCCATAATGTGTGAGGAGCACCATTGTGAAGACCTTCTCTTACCACTCTACAAGTCTCCCTCAGAGGAGGTAGGTGAAGAAGGGCTTTAGAAAATGAGCATTATGTATGAGTAGGTTCCTGCTTGGATCCTGACCTATTGAAGGCCTTATAGGCTGTTACATCTTAAATTGGGCTCACATAGGTAGCCAGTGCTGGTGAACCAGAATTGATGCTATATGTAGGAACTTCTCTTTGTTATCAATCTGACTGCCAGTTTTTGCACAAGCTGCAGCTTTTGAACTCTCTTCAAAGGCAGCCTAACTTCAAAGGCAGCGCACATTGCAGTAACCTAATTTAGAGGCTACCAGTGCATAGATGCCTGAATCCACACTATCCCTGCCCAGACAGGGATGTAGCTGTGCCACCAGCAAAAGCTGGTAGAAGTCCCCAAAGATGATTCTAGGATGAATCACCCCCAAGGGATGAATCAGTGGGAATGCAGTGCCATCCAAAATAGGTGGAGCATCCTCCCTCTTGATAGAAGAACCACCCATTGACAACATCTCAGTCTTGTCTAGATCGAACATCGGTTTGTAAGCCCTCATCTGGTCCATTATTGCAGCCAGGCACAAGTTTAGCATATCCATAGCTTCACCTTGTGAAGATGAAAAGGAGAAATACAGCAGCATGTCATCAGCAAAGTGAAATGAACATGTTCCAGAATTCCAGATGACTGCACTCAACGGTGTCATGCTGACATTTAGTAGCATGCGGGACAAAACAAACCTCTGGGGAACCACATGCTTAATGTGCAAGGACAAACAATATTCTCCTGCACCACCTTCTAGATCTAACCAAGTAGGAACAAAACAATCGCAATGCTCCCCTCTTCCAACTCAATCATCCCAAAAGGATACCATACTGCAAGGTGCCAGAAGCCTCTAAGTGATCAATAAGAATTAACAAAAACACACACTCTTTGTCTCTTCCTCCCATAAATAATGATAAAAGTGACCAAGGCTGTTTCCTTGCCAAAACCTGTCTTGAACAGTGACTGAAAAGAATCCAGATAATCACCCATGAGCATCTAGTGCTGGCTGGTAACCACCTACTCAAGAAGCTTGCCCAGACAGGATTATTTGCCACTCGCCTTAAGTTAAATGTTTCCAGGTCCAAGGAAGGGGTCTTCAAGAGTGGTATTGCCACCACCACTTTTAAGCAGCCCAGGACCTCTCCATCTGGCAAGGATGCACTGATCATCTCCTTGGCCCAGCCCACTATTCTCTCCCTTTGAGTTTTGTAGGCCATAAGGGGAAAAGATCCAGTGCAGAAATAATTGTATGGTTCTTTCCAAGCACCTTGTCAATGTTCTTGAGGTGCAGCAACAGACTCTCATCCGAGAGAGAGGGAGAGAGAGAGGCTGTGCTTTGGAAACCACCGTGGAGTTATCTGCTGTAACTCTGCAGTCCAAGTCCTAGTGCATATAAGAACTTTTATCTTGGAAGTGCCTTGCAAGTGTATTACAACAAACCTCAGAAAGTTCTAAAAGTGTCCCTAGGGCCAGCATATAATAAGCCCTGGACAACCCTGAAATCTCAGCTGAGTGGTTCACAGAGGATTTGATAGAGGAAGTGAGATAATGTAATACAAACATTAACTGGAAATGCCTAAGACTGCACTCTGGTTTGCTTGGTTGCCATTAACTTAGTCCATAATTGTATGAGTGGACCATAACAGTTTTTAAGTACTTCTTGTAATGTTTATGCAATAACAGCTGTATACTGTATGCACTTAGGTCTTCATGCTAGTGAATACAATGTGGCTTACTTCCAAGTAGACCTGCCTATAGGGTTGCAGTGTAAGTATATGTAGACAGGCAATTGATTCAATTATTTTTTATCATCACATTTTTATGTTTTATGTGGAATGGTAGTGGGGTGTCTTTGCTATAATACAAAGAAAATTTCCTTTCTTTTCTTTCTAATGTTCTGATGAAAATTATTCTACATGGCTGCTTTGAGGATGAAAAACCATCCTATTCCCTTTAAGAATCCTCAAATAAGTACTTTTGAACACCCTAGATTACGTGGGTATGAAACTCTCTATTTTTTTCTCCTTTGGAACAACCAAAATGACAATATTCCTTAATAAACTCAGTCCAATTACTTTAAAAATACTGCACCCAATGAAGATAATTTCTGTTTATTGACATTATTAATTAGAAGCTGAGATTTTTGCTGCAGTGTGCTTCAGGGATGCAATTAAAGGAGAGTGAGGATGGCAAATGGAGTTGTAATTCCTATTGGACTACCAAAGGGGAAGGGCCATAACTCAGTGGCGAAGCACCTGCTTTACATGCACAGAGTCTAAGGTTCAGGAAAGACTCCCACCTGAAACTCTAGAAAGCCAATGTCAATCAGGGAAGATAATGCAGCGGTAGATGAAACAATGCTCTGATTTGGTCTGAGGAAGTTCCTTACATTCCTAAATAACATCATTAGTTGCAAGAATGTTTAGTAGTCACAGCAGATGTGCAGGTACAGGGAAACCCTGGAGATGAAAATCCCTATTATGCTATCCAATCCTTCCTTCAAGGAGTTTAGAGTATAAACATCACTGCTGCTGCTATAATGTGAGCACAATAGATTCCATGACAGCTACAGGGGATAACTTAGCAAACCACTAGAAGTATCTATCCATCCGGACAATGGAACCATTTGTCGCTCCTGGCATTGCCTGGCAGGTTCAGGGAGATGACTGAGGGCCAAACTGAACACGAGGGTAATTGTACATCTAGCAACCATGTCTTCTTTTCATTTTTATTCTAAGTGCAAAGGACCCAGCCCAAATTTCAAAACCCTTGCTCTCATGCCTGGGTCCCAATCCAACTGGAGCAGTGGTGGACTTATTCTAGAGTGACACTGAAAAAACATAGCTGTTAGACATACTTTGAAACTTAGTCTATCTGAACCCTAATGAATGTTTCTGGGAGAACAATGGAAAATGTGCACTCCTTCGACTTTAGATGCTGTTGCTCCTTCTGCTGTCCTAGTGGTGACTGAGGAGCTAGTGTTGCTGAATAACATTTTGCTGTGCTAATAATCATGCTCTTAAGGGACACAACATTGCCAGGTTTGGCCCTTGGAAGGGCCCCCACTGCCTTCAAGGGCTGTGTAATGAAAAGAAGATTCCATCCACTGTAGCTTCTCTTGCCACTCTGACTACCATTCCATGCAACTCTTAAAAGTAAAAGAGCCCTTTTGGATTCTAGGCCTGTCAACCCTCCGTCAGCCACAATTCATGTGAAAACAGTGGAAGTACATGGCTAGCTGGAAATTAGCACTGCCTCCCACCTCTGATTGCAGGAAGCTTTTCTGAATATCTGTATTCTAGATGCACTCTTCAAAATTAATAGCAACCTCTTATTGACATAGTTTGTCCTTCATTGAAAGCAGGGACTCAGATCCAAAGCACTTATATTGCTCCTAATAAGCAGGAAGGGTTTTCACAGGTTGTCAATTTGTCTGCATAGATTGGGTCTATAAGTGTATGTCATGCTTATTTCCAACATGTTCTATTATTCATGTTTTTGTACAAATCCAAAATACCCATCAGGCTGTTCTCTATGTTTGTTGCTTTACTATCAACCAAGGAGAAGGTAAGCATAATTTGCTTGGAAATAAAAGCAAAGAAAGAGCGAGCCTTCATCAGGTACCCTGAAAGAAGAACCAAAAGAAATGCTCTTTAACTAAGCTCTTGTATTTGAAACACTCATTTACACACATTGACAGGCCCGGTAAAGAGCGAAGAAGAAACCTGTCATATTTCT